CTCCTCTCATTCGTTGGGTGTTCTTCAACTTCTAGGTCTTGACTCATCTTTACCACTCTGCAAAAGGGCTAATGGGAAGGTGAGGGACGAAGGACCCCGACGATCGTGTTTGTTTGGTCAGGGTTAGTTGCAATTACTATATCTCTCCGACCTCTGGGTGGCAATCGACCCCAATAAAAAAAAGGTTGGTAAATGCACCAAGAACAAAGGGGTTAATTTCACTGTGGGAGTGCAAAGGGCTCAGTATACAACCAAGCCAAAAAATTAAAGCTCCAGACAAAGATCAGAATCTAATACGAATTTCCCACACCACAATAAAAATAATAATGATAATAAGGGCAAAGTACAAAAAACTCCCGTCGATTTGTAGTCTTTTTCAATAAACCCTCCTCGTCTAATTTTTTACTAAAGAACCCCCCTCGACTTGTACCCCTTTCCAATAAATCTCCTTTTTTAATTTTTTTACCAAAGATCCCCCATCAACTAGCTAAAGGGAGTAAAAGAGTTGATATTTGGACCAAAATGACCTTTTATTTAAATCTTAATTATCATAAATTTCAAAAATTCATATCTCACAAACCGTACATCCAAATATTGCAAATAATATATGCACGAAAAACTTATAAAACAAGGATTCCAGAAATATAAGATTTGTTTAACAAAACTTCATAGCCAGAGAGAAATAGACAATGTAAAAATCTACTGCAACAATCTTATTTTATTTTTTTATTTTTTATAAAATACTCAGATTATTTGCAAGAAAATTTTCAAAATTATTCATTTTCTTATGGAGCATAAATATAAAAAAATTAGCCTCAATAGAGACCGAATATTCATTTTTAATTTTTTTTTTTTAAATGGTGAGTCTATAAAAGAATAAAAATACTTTGACGCAAAATATGATATCTCATGAAATCGATCTCTGTTGGGGCTAATTTTTTTTTTTTTTTTATATATATTTGGCTCCATATGTAAGTGAATAATTATGAAAATTTTCTTGCAAATATATCGAGTATTTTATTTTTTTTAAATAGAATAAAATTATTAGAGTAGATTTTTAGATTGCATATTTTTCTCTAGTTATGAAGGTTTGTTTTATAAATCTTATATTTCTAGAATCCTTATTTTATAAGCTTTCCGTGCATATATCATTTACAATTTTTAAATGTACGGTTTGTGAGATATGAATTTTTTTAAGTTCGGGAGAATTAAGATTTAAATAAAAGGGCATTTTCTGTACTTTGCCCTAATAATAATAATGGAAATGGACAAATTTCTTAATACATATGATTTTTAATTTTTAAAAATAAACAAAAATCTTTTTGACTTTGAATCAAGAATGATGATGGAGCAAACCCTCCTTTCAAATACTAATGTTTATAGAATTTAGACACAAAGAAGTGGTGCATATATTAAGAACAATCCATTATATATATCTGCACTGTTGGCCCCGTGATTAAAGGGTCTTAAGGGGGCAAATCATACACTCAAGCGTTCTAACTTCGACTCTGCACAAAAACACTTTATGATGTGTAGAAAAAGAAAAAAAAACAAATCTATCATGGAACTGGAACGACCCTCTAATTTGAGAATTACTTGATGGGGGTTGATTGCCACCCAGAGGAAAGATATAGTAATTGCAATCAAACGTGAAAAAGAGGGAGAGGAGAGAGAATTATAATTTGATTCGGATTCGTTTAGGTTTAACCCAGATACCTATTAAATTATTTATATTTTATTTTTTTAAATGTTAAAACACTTGTCCGTTTAGCAATGGGCCAGGTACGTGGTGAGTATAAGTGGCAAGTATTGTCCAAATATTATTACTTAAAAATGCTTTTTTATTATACAAGCACCTCTAAAACACTAATTATTATTATTATTTTTTTCCCATTCAGAAAAAAAAAAAAAAAAAAAAAAAAAAAAGGCTCTAATTTTAAAAATATATAAAAGCACTTTTCTGTGATTCATAAAATAGGCTCTAAGAAGCTTAAAGAAAGCCAGGTGCACCAGCAAAACTCAGCCCAAAGCAGGCCTAGGGAAAGAAAGAGCTTAAACGATTCAGATGCTTGTTTTTTTTTTTTTTCAGAAATAATTGAGTTTTTATTGTAATTGTTAGACAATTTTTATTTTTTGTTTCGTTCCACCCAAATATTTGATATGATTTGAAATCGAAGGATTTCAATTTCGTGACTCCAACCTATAAGATCCCATTTAAGGTGTATTATATGCATGGCTTGGATTTGAAATATTAAAATTAAAGTTAATATTTGATATGATTTGTACAAAGAGACTATAGTGTAATTAACTCGAATCTTCACTTTTTCGCTTATCAACCCGAATTTTTATAACTAAACTAAACTTATGTTTAATAAAATTAAAAATTAAATACTAAAAATATTGCAAAAAGGATAATGATCCATTATTTTTCATGAGAAATGATTAATTGTTCATTTTTTGTTTATGAATGATCTCATAAACTCAAGTTTCATAATAAGGTGGGAATTAAGTCTATAAACAAGTAGGCCAAGCTATTATGGTTGCTTCGTTAATTGGTCAAATTATGATGACTACCATTGAATGGAAACTATTCAAACTATGAAGTTAGTAAAACTTTTGGCGCATTGATATGGAACTTTTTTAGTTGCTTGTAAAATATTTTGTGAAATTGACAGTGGAAAGTGAAAGAAAAAAAGGAGTGAAGTGAAGGAAAATAAAATTTAATTTCTATTATGTATTTGGTTAGTATGAATTTATTTAAAATACATTTGTGGAAAAGAAAATTAAGTTTCTATTATATATTTGGTTAGCATGAATTTTTTTAAATAAATTTGAGAGAAATTATTGCTTTATTAGTTTGGAACTTTGGATATCATAAGAGTGAAAAGAAAACTAAAACTCCCCTTATGAGATTAATACTAAGTAATATACATCATGCTATAACCATTAAAAAGTAAAATAATAAAATTATATGTACAATTGGATTTATAAATGAATATATATGTGCTATATATGTTTAAATACATACAAATATATTAATACTATTAGAATTATGCTATTAGATTGTCTCATTTTTTTATTTTTATTCGATACTAGAGAGTAGAGAGTAGAGAGTTGTAATCTAATAGTATAGTCCTAATTTATCGATAAATAAAACTGACTTTCTGAGAAACTATACCTTTGGAAGAATCCTTCTTCTGTTAAATAAAACTTCATTTTCATCCTAACCAAACTCCTCAGAGAAGAAAAAAAAATCATTTCAAGTATAGAGTATGGTACAAAAAATTATTATTATATAAGGTTTATTTATTTATTTTAAGAAATGTTACGAGAGAAAAGCCTATACTAAGGGAAAAATAATGAGAGAAAAACTTATTATTTTATAGTCCTCATATATATATATATATATATATGCATATAGTTGCAAATTGTCACTATATTAACAATGAAGATAGCATGTGGTGTAATTGTCCAATGGTTAGGACATGTGCTGCATGTGGCTAAAGGGCCAAGTTCAAATCCCCACTCCATGTTCAGTTACTTTACCTTCCAAAAAAAAATTAATAATAAAATAAAATAAAATAATGAGGATATTCTCTTTACTTGCCCAAAAAACGTTAAGCAACAATGAAATAAACCCCCTCCCAAAAAAAAAAAAAAAATTCATATATTTATAAGCTTAAAAAAAAAAAAATTCATATATTTATAAGCTTATTGATATATTGATATGTGTGTGTATATATAAATATACATATGAATATAAAGAGAATCTCCAGGTGTGAATATCAAGTACTTGCGTGTGAATACTTAATTGGTATGTAGCAGGCAATGACGGCTCGTATAATTAAACGGATGATATCACGAAACCCTAAAACCAGGTTGAAACTTGTATACTGGATAGAGATGGAATGTAAACTCATTTAATTCATTTACTCCATATTTGTTATTACTTGGATTCAATTTCACCGCGTAATCCACTTTCTCAGCCTCGTTAATTGTACTGTAACTTCCATCTTTATAAAATCGTTTTGGAATGCGTGCATATACCATGCTTAATGTGTGCTGTATTAATTGCATGCATACACATATACGTAACCCATATATTATTTGTGCAAAAGTTTTAAAAATAAATAATCAAGGGGAATATAAATTAAATAAACCATTTAATTTTTTTTTTTTTTTTTTGGTATGGAAAATCGAAGGAAAAAATAAAAATAAAAAATCAAAATGACTGTAATTAATTAGAAGAAGATGGATACACTCCATAATGGTTATATATATGTACGGTTAATGTTGTATTTAGAGCTATTTAAATGTATTGATGGTTTTATTTATTTATTTAAGTAACCAACCTGGAACATGGAAAACAAAGATTAGATAAAAAATAAAAAATAAAAAGGTAGAAAATGCCAAATGTACTCCACTTATTTGTGAATGCATTCTACCATTTTTTTTTCTTAAATTAAATTACTTTTTTTCTACGCTTTTAACAATTGAATGTAGTAATTGTCCTTAATTCAAAGAATGTGAGAGTACTTTTGTAGGAGTAATATGATTTACCTTTTCCTTTTTTTTTTTTTTTTTTTCCCCGCTTACTTGAATTGAAAAGAAAATACTACAAAGACCGATACATGTATAACTTAATTTCATGCACTAACATGAATGCGTGTAGAAGTGCATGAAAAATATATATCATGATCATGATCTGTATCTGCATATATACGTGTATATAATCTATATATATATATATATATATATCAACGTATAACATAATAAGCATTAAAGAGACATGCATGATCGATGCAGCCCCCTTTTGTGATTGGTAATCGTTCACTAATTAATATCTCATTAAGTATTATCCCCACGATATTGTAACTCCCACAATTGTGTGCACAAACTCCAATATATCTCCTCCTCAATTTATACCCTCCATTTTCTACTCTCCATCTAATTCCCTCTCTCTCTCTCTCTCTCTCTCTCTCTCTCTCTCTCAAATAGATATGGATTCTACACAATTTAACTTTCTAAAGGTGGACAAGTACCAAAATGAGTTTGACTGGTTATACATTGAGGAACAGTTAAATGGGTAACTAAACACTTAAATTTCTCTTAGACTTCTATATATATATATATATATATATATCTGTGTGTGTGTGAGCATTACTTTCATTTGATTTGTATTTTTCCTTCTACCATATATACTAAAACTTTTGTGTTATTTTTCTTTGTGTGCAGAGCATTAGAATTACCAAATACATTCACTGGTGGCTATGAAAATTGCATAACCAATACCTTATTTGATTATGATCCATACTTATTTCATCCCCAGCACCAAAACAATCAAGTTGCCCATTCTGGTTTCAATGATTTTGAAGATGTCATTCAAGATTTCAGTTCATGGGATGTGAACTTTCCGTCGTCGTATTATGAAGATATTGTGGTGAATGCTATGCCATTGAACACTATGACTGAAGGTACTTTTGAGCTTTGTGACATTAATGTTGGGAATGTTACAAGTGAAGTGCCCGATGCAACTTCAAGAATGTATGATCAGGAGATGAATAAAAGGCAGAGTGGAAGGCTGTGTAAATCGGCTACGTTAGAATTGGAGGAGATTCAGAAGTACTTTGATATTCCAATAACAAAAGCAGCAAAAGAACTGAATGTTGGATTGACTGTTCTCAAGAAGAGATGCAGGGAACTTAATATCACTAGGTGGCCTCATCGGAAACTCAAGAGCTTGAAGACTCTAATTGACAATGTGAAGGTATGTATCAAAAACTGACATAATATATATACAGATATATAAGTACTTTTTCATAGACTTGGAAAACCTGTTTTTCGGATTTCTCTTGGTGTATATATGTGTGTGTGTGTGTGTGTGTGTGTGTGTGTGTGTATGTATATATAAATGCATGTCAAAGCTGAGTTGTGTTGTTTGTTTTTGTTGTGATTTAGGGTTTGGGATTGGCGAAGGAGTTAGAAATGCTAGAAGAGCACAAGAGAATGATAGAGCAGGTGCCAGAGATGGAACTGACAGAGAGGACGAAGAAGTTGAGGCAGGCCTGTTTCAAGGCCAATTACAAGAGGAGAAGGACTCTTGCAGCAGCTGCAACTTCTTCTTGATCTGCTGTGTCAAAGGATCTTTTAGGTTTCTGTTCAAAGTAGCTATTGTCTCTTTACACCACATGACCACATTTGTAATGCAATTACTAACCTAATTTTCTCTCTAGCATTTAATTTTCACTGGAAAGTTTGCATTTGTGCCTAGTTTAATGTAGAAAGGGTTCTTTTTCGTCACAGAGGCCATGCAACATCGAACGAATTCATGCATTGCTATAAAATCACTTTATTTCCAGAGCATAGTGCTATTGTGTTTGCAGAAATAAGCTATTTGTTAAACAATTAATGCTTAAATATTATTAGATTATTTGTTCTAGCTAGTGACTGTCATGAAGTTGAATTAATGTAACACCCAACCTCTATGATCTATCAGTTGATTAAGAGAATTTGAACCTTAAGCCTTCATTTGGGATTGTGAAAGTATTACTTAACCACTATACTCTCTTTTCAAATCTTTCCATTTTTGGCAGGATAGCATATGAGGGATTGGTCAATCCCAAATATCACATTTCTTTTCTCTCTATTTAAGATAAACACACACTAAACACTATCCACTCAGTTTAGTCTGAGTTTATGTGTGCTGATCTGATCACATCACATACTGCTCAAAACCACACCTAAATCAAAACTCTTACAATAAATTAGATTACCTCCAATATGTTTTACACACACAACTGTATAAAGGAATACAATGTGAACAATCAATTAAGATTTTAGACATAGACACCCTTCACATTTAGTTACATAAAATCAAGACACTTGTGTCATAATGGATTATATAACTAAGATCATATTGCAGTTGATGAAGGTCCAGTGAGCAAGAGATGGACCAATATTGTCAGCACAAGAAGACAGAGTGAAGCTTAGCTCATCCATTTATTACATTATGTTTGAACTCATGTACTATAATATATATATATATATATATAAAGTGGGAAGATTAATCCTTTATCTGGACATAAAAGTTCAGATTGAGAATTAGAGCTCCAAGTGGCAGATCAGAAAGCTACTATCACAAACTCCTCTGTTTCCTCTGTTTTTCTTGATTACGTCTCCATGGGACGGCTTGCTTGAAGCTTCCATAGATGCTTGCCTGCAATACCACCAAGACCAACAAGTGCTTAAACAATTGGGTAATATAGGGAATCAAATGGCCACTAAATTATATAAGAATTTCCCAGTTGACAGTCATAAAAAGTAGAATTGCTCATTGAAACCTCATTGTTAATCACTAGCTAATAGCCCGAAAAGTACTACTTTGGTTTCTTAACATTTCTCAACTTAATTAAATGAAATTAAGCAGTGATTAAGTGATAAACAGGTTGGGGCTGAAACTGTGTGGATTAATACAAATAATTTTTTTTTTTTTTTGGAAAGAAATATAAAAATAAAAATAAAGCTAAAAGGAAAAAGTTATTATGATGAAACTTACCCAAAGGTTAGAATGTGTATGAGAGAAACTGAAGAAGCTGTTTCGTCTTCTAACCCTTGTGATCTTCACTTTTGTGCGATCAGTCTCAAAGACATTAGCAGAGTCTGAAAAGTCAAAACTAGCCCCAAACACTACTTCAGTACTATTTTCCTTAAAACTTCCCCACCTGCAAGAACTAAGATTCCATCTCTCCTTACTCATCTCTCTCTTCCCATCGCCGGCTTGCAGCCCTCCGTCAGGGCTCCTAAATGACCTTTTACCGAACGAAAACGACAGCGTGTGAGAGAGAGAACGACCGGGATAAGGCCCCTCCAACACGGTTGTAGGGGAGGACGTGTTGGTAACTTTAACCTGATCGGTCAACAGCCTTGGAGGCAGCTCTAAGCTCCTTTTGGACTTGGGGGGTGCTGCGGCGGTGGCGGTGGCGGTGGTGGTGGAAGGTCGAGGCTTTCCAGGTTCATCTTCCCACGAGAATGGAACTGAAGCTAAGGCATGGAATGGTGGTGTTGGCATCCCTGGAGATTCGAATTGCTTGCTTGGAAGCGAATTGAAAGACAATTTAGGTGTGGAGCTTGGGTCGCGCTCTGTCTCGGATCCCATCTCTCTCTCTCTCTCTCTAGAATCACCTCTTCATGAAATAAAAACTGGTTCTTCAGTTTCTCTCTATATATGCACAGAGAGAGAGAGAGAAAGGAAGGGGAGCGGGTGGTGGTGAATGTGGAGGTTCAATACGCTCCTGCCTCTTCTTCTTCACGGGAAAATAACGGTATTTTTACATGAGCTGGGCATAGAAATAGCCCATATGTAACGGGCCAGGTCTTTGCCCTGCCCCGCAAATAATTTATGTGTAAGCCCACGACCTTTTTTTCACCCGGATTCAATGCAAACAATAACCTCGTGTCTTTGTTACGTCGGATCTACGTAGGTGGGTCAATAATCATGTGTGACAATATATTGAAGTGATGGGATGGGAAGATAATTAAGGACTATGAACGTTCACATATCAATTGACTTTCCTCACTTACATATATGTATATATTCCATATATTATATAGTATGAAACAAGTGCGCATATTATTTATAATGTATAAATAGATAGTTTTGAAAAAAAATAAAAATAAATAGATAGTAAGAGAAATGGTCTAGGACGGTTGGTGTGTGTTAAGGCATGTTGTGCTAAAGCAGTAAATGCTTCTCCTATTAACAAAATGCCGACAATTAAATATCAAGTCACTGTTTTTTTTTATTAAAGGGCTAAAGGGGCAGTGATGATCATGAAGGAGAAGAGGGATTAGTTGAAATTGTGTGTTTATTTTATCATTTTTTTAATAAAAAAAAAAAAAAATCAACTTGGTGGATATCAATCCTTCACCTAGAATGACCATTCTAGCTTCTTTTTTTTTAAGGATAATTCTTTTTTTTCTTTTCTTTTTTTAAAATGATAAATCTAGTATAGACATACTCTCTTTCAAATGCATTTGCCTTAAAAATTTCAGCAACCCAAATTTCACCTCATTCTGCTTTCCCTGTTAGTAATATACTAAAATAAGAATCTAAAAACCCAACCAAGAAAGATGCTAAGCTAGGCTTGCCGCCATATTGCAGGATTTAAAGAGTCTTTTTATTTCTTTCCCTCTCTTTTTTCAAATTGAGAAGATATTGAACGAATGCACACCATAACAATTTTGCTCAGCAATATGTCCAATGTTTCTGTAAAGATTACATGATTCATTCTAAGTAACACAAAACGGATACAAGAGCGAGAGCGAATGTGCAAAAGTAGAGTTAATGTGCAAAAGTGACAATCTAAGTCACACATAGTGAGATGAGCAGCAAGAGCGTGTGCGAAGTGTGCAAGAGGAAGCGCGCGTAGAGTGTAAGTGTCATCCGTTTAAAAGAACCATGCGACTTAGGGTACATTTCGATCGAGAGATCAAAAAGTTAAGGGGGTGCCAATCAGCTCCTAATCAATGTTATAAACTCATCCATGGCAATAGAAAATTAAACAAGTTCACAGGTCCGATCCATTTGGACTACCTTAATTGGCTCATGCACCCAAGTTCCCCAAAACAACAATATGATCAATATTTGATCTAACAAACCAAAAACTGAAACTAGTTAATGGCTTGAATAGTTAAGAGTTCCAAGGATTTGAAGCCAACTATAAGATTTGTGGCTTCTTATGACCCTATGAGATTGTCAAGCTGATCACATTCAATGTAAAACCTAACACAAACTATAAAAGAAGGATTACATATGTGCAGATGTTAGTAATTGGAAGTGACAAGTGATTGATACATGAAAGCCCATTCCACCCATAAATTTCCTAATCATCTAATGTATTTTTGATTTCCTTTTTCTACTGAACCATATATCTGAATCAAACAATGTGGCTATACATGGACCATATATGCACATCTATATTAAAAAATCTAACTATGTAAGATATTGAAAAACACTGGCACACAGCATATGGCGTGGGTCCCATTTCGAGAACTCGGGTCAAATAATCAATAGGGGTAGAGGTCCATTAATGTTTCATCCATTCCTAGCCTCTTTATGCATCCATCATCAGTCAATTGCAACATATCAGATCTTCTGATAGTGTTAAATGTCAACTTGACAGATAGAGTTGCAGCACTGATAATCAAATAATGTCATGCCACAAAGTAAGGGAGACAAATGAAAATCCCACTTATAAAATTTTCCCACTAAAAGTTTAATATAAGTGGGATTTTCCCCAGCCCCTGTGCTTCCACCCCTGCCTTCTGGAAAAACACACACACACACACATCACCAAATTCATGTGAAATCATTCTTGGATTAAGCAACTGAAAGGTGTTGATGACAAATAAATGACAGGCAGACCATAAACATAATACCTCAAAACTGGTACCAAGTTCTGATCAGTCTTGTTGATGATAGAACATGTTATTATAATGATCAGACAGCTCTTAGAAATGATGGATGATGAAATGGACATATAACCAATTTGAAAATGAAGACTAATGACTCGGCAGATTTATGACTTCAAACAATTAATACTCATAAAGTCATAATATACCTTAAAGCGATCAAGACGATTGAACTTGAGTTAAGGTGTGAAACTCAACAAGGACTTTTTCAGTAACGTGAGACGAACGAGAGAACTGGAGAAGTGCGGAGAAATTGAAAAAACATGTTTATGTTTATAACACACTACAGGGGTACACTATGGCAATTTATCATGCCCACCTTTAGGCCATCTACACTAGCCTCTCCGGATTTTGGCTCTTCAAAAACGTCACATCAGTTTTTTCAAGAGTCACGTCAGCAATTCAAAAAGTCACGTTAGCAGTTTTCGCTTTCCAGAAACATACATTCCATCAAGCTCTCCGAATTTTCGCTCTCAAAAAATAATAATAATAAAAAATAAAAATTGATTTTTTTTAATTTTTTTTTTTTTAACTTTTTCTAAACGGCTATATTTGTAACAGGGAATAAGTAGATGAATTTATAATTTTAATTATTTTTTTTACAAAAGTTAAAAAAAAAATTATATATATATATATTTTTTAAAATTATAGCCGTTAAGGCACTATTTGTGTCAGCCAAACAGTGCATTACACTAGCCTCTCCGGATTTTGACTCTTCAAAAACGTCAAATCAATTTTTTCAAGAGCCACGTCAACAATTCAAAAAGTCACGTTAGCAGTTTTCGCTTTCCAGAAACATACATTCCATCAAGCTCTCCAAATTTTCGCTCTCAAAAAATAATAATAATAAAAAATAAAAATTGATTTTTTTTAATTTTTTTTTTTTTAACTTTTTCTAAACGGCTATATTTGTAACAGGGAATAAGTAGATGAATTTATAATTTTAATTATTTTTTTTACAAAAGTTAAAAAAAAAATTATATATATATTTTTTAAAATTATAGCCGTTAAGGCACTATTTGTGTTAGCCAAACAGTGCATTAATGGCTAAATGTATTGTTTGTGGTACAAATTTAAAATTTAAAGCAAAAAAAAAAAAAAAAAAAAAAAAAAAAAAAAAACTTTTTAATTTATTTTTGGCCCAAATAATTTTTTTTTTCTATAAATAGTGCCTAAACAATATTTTTTTATTTAATGAATTTTATTTTAAATTTTTTTTCTAAAAAGAACTCAAAATAACCTATTTTTAGATTTTTTTTTTTTAAATACAATTCTGCCAAACAGAAGACAAAACAGGCAGTCCAAAATGACGCCGTTTTGCAGCAAATAAAACAAAAAAAAAATGGACAGCGATCGCTAGCCGGCTCACTGAATACCGCGAGCCAGCCCGAGAGTAAAAACGGGGCCCACCATTTTAGCTAGGGCACTGTGCGCCCAACAGGCTTGGCTCGCGGAAATTGGGCTTCCGCGAGCCTGCTTCAGATGGCCTAACACTGAAATGCACAGCATATACCCTCAAGTCAACAAAGAAAGTCTCTACACATTTAGCACAAATGCACTTTTCATCTTTCAAATATGAAGTTCCATAAGATTTACATGAACAAAATCAAATTGCATATAGAGGCGCAGGACATGTATATGATAGAGTTTCAAGCGATCAGGTCACAGCACCAACATGTGTAGCTAAAAAAAAAAGTAGGAAATTGAAACCATCCAGAGACCACTTGGGCTACCCCTTTTGTATTCTTTTCTTTTTTTCTGATAAGCAGGAAACAAATGATCTACATGGTCCCAGTACTTTAATCATATAAACCTTTTTCTTTTCTTTTCTTTTCTTTTCTCAATTGTGGAAAATTGATTTTCTAACATTTCTCAGAAGCTTCTCTAAACCGACAAGCTTGTAGCACAATTATTAGCTCTTGTCCGCCGATCAAAAGCAATACAAAAACAGTATAGTTTTTACAGTACAACATTTCTGTGGAATCAAGGCTTTAAGTCAGTCATAAAAGGATTTTGACCACCATTTGTTACTATCACTTTCGTTCAATTTGTTCCTCGAGCAAATTCTAAAATGCCCAAAACCAGTACCAATTAACTTGATGCCATAGCCAAAAACACACGAAGGTGCATGCACAGAAGGCACGAGACACTGTATAACTTCATAAGAAAGGTCATCCATAATGACAATGAAAACCTCAATTAAAATGCATACATGCATTAATACACAAATAAAAGACGACAACATAAAAAATAAAAATAAATAAATAAATAAATAAATAAATAAAGAAGCAGAACTATTTCAATTGTAAAAAAAATAGGAATATTTACAGCTTATCATGATTCCAAATGCAAAAAATGTACATGTCTAATCAACCAAGTTGAAGACAAAAGCTAAAATAAAAATGAAAATGTTACCAATTAAGAAACAAGAACTGAGGTACCGAACTGGCTAAGAAGCATTGTTAGTAAGTAAAAGCAGTACTTTTAGGCCAGATCTTTTAAACAGCCGGATGAAATGAAATTAACGTAATTATCACCAAGTACAGTCTATGAAAAACTCTCTTCAAGAATTATGTAAATGACCACATAGATTTACAGCAAATTATCACACTCGTACCAAACCTCAATGAAATATATTCTCTCTAACCCAATATGAATACGATAATTTGCCACACGTTGAGAGGAGGAAATCACATGGAAAATTGTCCCACTCCAACTTTTGTTCTGATTAATACATATATATACATCCATATGTAGTTCCTATTTTTCTTCAAATTTTCAAGAAATTGTGATCACCTGTCATAGAAATTACATTTTAGAATACTTTTATTTTTCAAGGCCTCAGTTAACAAGTTATTTGTTTAAATGAGGGCATAGGAAATGTACATGAAAACTAGGGGAAAAAGAAATGTACATGAATGGTGGAATTAATTAAATGAGGCTTATTCCTTCTCGAATGAAATAATGCATACCGGCTCTACCAAGCATTTTTACAAACAAGTTACATGAGATGATTATAGATTCTAATGTCTCCCCACCCCCAAAAATTTCTTCTAAAAAATCCTCTCTCCGACCATGGGTTCAGTTAAGGATGCATTCATGATATGTCATTACGACAAGGTCAACATATGGACTTGTCAGATAAAACATGTTGACACCTGAACCAAAGTTGTTTAGGTTACACAATAACTAGAATCCTCAATTTTGAATCTGTTAAGATCCGAATTTGCATCCGGTATGCAAACGAGGATTCTTATTTGAATCCCACCCCGACATGTCATTTGTAGAGCTAACTGAAAATATATCTCAAGATTCTCAACATCTGCTTTAATCGAATCTGAATAACTGAAAAAATATATATGTTTGGTTATGGATTATATATGTTTGGTTATGGATATGAACTCGTGGTTGATTTATGCTTGTTAGAGAGTTTGTGTTCGGTGTAAATTCAGACGTAATATGCTCATTGCATACACCCATTTTGCTCCACTTGAGTATTTTAACTCAAAATTTAAACTTTCTCCAAGTACTTATGGCTGAAAAATGTAGTTTTTGAAATCTTCTCATCATGGATAGTTATTATTCTCAAATTTACATAAGATTTATTTACTTGTATGGATGAACAGTTTGCATCAATGTAGTAAGGAACAGAAGCTAAACAATCTATGGATTTCTACTGCATTAGATAAGCCAATTCTGTAATCGCACTATACAAATTTGCTTTAGAGACTCTGCAGAAACAGTAGTTAAAGAAACCAAGACCTTAATGCCCTTCTTGGTGATCCTAATATTCAAGTGTAGTCCAAGTTACTGCTTTCTCAGTTGTTTGATCCCGTCACAAGCCAGAGTGCCCTCAACATCTCCAATGATTCGAGAAATGCGGACTTCAAGTCCCCTTTGAACGTCTCTGAAGAGTGTTCTAACACTATCGGCAAAGCGCTTCATGTCAAAGCTGGCAGGCCCTTCAAGGGCCTCTGCAGCCCCGACGAGTCCAGAAGCAATCTTGGATTGTATTTCCATCAATTTCTGACCTGTTGCAACCATATATCTCTGCAGCTGAAATGTTTCCTCCAGGAAGTGCTCTAGTGTTTTTGTTTCCTCCCTAGTCTTAGCAATACTAGAACCTCCAAAGCTCACCAAATCATTCTCATGCTGAAAATTGCAGACAAAAATGCAAAGCAAATACAATACTTTCAGTTGCTGATCCAAGTTAGGATAATAAGTCTCATTATAATTTGAACAAGGGAATAAGGGTCCATTTCAAATAGAAGCAAAATAATTCCAATTGAAGTTTCTACACTGGTTATCACCTAACAAAGCCAAATTTGTGAAGAATTTCAAGATTTTGTCAACATAGTAGAAATTTTGTATGGGAAAGAGTAGAAATCTTTAAAATGCAGACAAACTCAGAACATGTCAAACATGATCAGCAAGTCTAAAATCTTGAAAATTGCCTTAAATTTAAAATTGGGGCTTACCATCCGCTTGCAAAGATCGTCAGTCTTCCCTTGGAGGGACTGGTACCTGCTAACTTGTTTATTCAACATTGACATCAACATGTTGAATCCCTTTATCCCAAACTGTGTATTATCATCAGTTACCCTATCTTCACAACTTTCTTGCTTTCCTGTCACCTTCTCAAGCATAACTAATTGCTGCTTCAACCTCTTGATCTTGTAAGAAACTCCAAGAGCATGAAGATCCATCTTCCATGGAGTTGTTTTCTTACTCAAGCATTGGCCATCTGTTGCTGATTTTTCATCAGTGTCAGCCTCCTTTTTAGCCTGTTCCTCCTGAATAGAACCTGAATCCAGAACATCATCTTTTTCATCTTCAAACTCCTTTCCTGGAGATTGGACCGTCAAAATTCTATCTTTGGACTGGTTCAGAATTGGGGTTTCCTGTTCTTTCCGAGTCTCTATCTCACGAGAAATTACCTCTGAGATAATGTTTGTTTCATGCTCTTTCTCCCCAGGTATTGTCTTTATGATCTTGACATTGGACCAAATGGTATCATGAACTAAAGCCAAGTCATGTGGGCATGAACATATGTCTGTCTTCATGTGATTTAGGGAGTCTAACTGCAATGCATACTCCTCTTTCACAGAATTCAACTCTGCTTCTCGATCCAATATCAAAGCTTTAAGTTTCATGTTGTCTTGTCTGAGCTGTGACAAATCATGGTTAAGCCCTTCAATATGGGACTGCAGCCGCTTAGATTCTAGTTCCATGCTCAATAAACGCCAACGAAAAGCTTCTAATTTCTCATCTTTAAGTCTCAGTTGTTCTGCAAAGGCATCTATTTCTAGGTGATGCTTCTGCTCAATTGCAGTAGTGTATTTTTCAGCTTCAGATCGTACCCAACCCTCCAACTGCTTAACTTCAGCTGCAAAAAGTTTACAACCAACTCCAAAAGTTAAAACAAAATTAACACAAATCTTGATCATAACAATAGGAAATCGGTTTGGCGTAGTTTACAGGATAGCCAAAATGATTATTAACATAGCTGTATGTCTAGAAAAGAGTGATAAAATCTAATTTTCATCACAATTACCTAATTTCATTGTTGGTACTAAAAAATGAAATTTAAAATAATAAGCAATCAAAATGCACATAGCAGAGATATAATCTTACTCAGTTCCTCGCTTGCTTCAAATGAGTATTGGTCATAAAGGGGATTTTTTCTATGCTCAGGATGCTCATACTCTACAAAAATATCAGTTTGCTTTGATTTAGCTCTTCCAATCTTTGATGGCACTGTTGCATCAGAATGCACACCTCTCCCGTCTTCAAAATTCTCCAGTTTAGAACTGACATGCTTAGACAGCATACTTCTCAAGGAATGCCGCTCACGTCTAGAATCAGAGACGGCCCTCCACCTTTCTGTTTCTAACTCAGCTTGTTTTCTCTTGGCCTTTGATAATTTGATTTCCTTTAAAAGCATTTGCTTCTCTGCTGTATCCAATTTGGATTTCCTCAGCATAGCTGACAAAATGTTGTCTTTCTGTTCCAAATCCTTACGCATTTTTATGAGCTCCATGGATAGCTTTTGGGCCACCAACATAGCTTCATCCTTCTGCTCCAAAACTGAATCAAGCTCTTGTTTTGCAGCTTCAACTTGCCTTAAGGCGCGACCCATCTCAGCTTCAAGCTGTCGCTGGTTAGAAACAAGCTCAATGACTGCAGTTTTGTGCTTCCAGAGCTCAGTAGAATGCCCTTGACCTTCCCGCTTCACAGTTTCTCTCAATTCCTCTGCGACAGTTTCAGACTTCTCGAGTTTTTCTTCTAGCTCCCTTCTCTTCTGCTCTTCTTCTTGCAATACCTTATCCTTAGACTGCACCGAAAGCTCCTTCTCCTGTAATTTTTCATTCAATCCAGAAATAGCTTCATCCCTATTTCTTTCAACAACTTTCAATTCATTCAAAAGAGCTGCAATTTGTTGTCGAAGCTTGTTTCTTTCACTAAACCAGTTCTGCTCCTGTGAGGCAAAGATTCTCACAACCTTCTCATTGGCTTTTGCATCTTCACTTCTCCTTCGCTTCAACTCTTCAATCTCTCTCTCAGCATTCCCAAGCTTATGGAATAGCTCATGCCTTCCATTAACTTCTTCTCTCTGAACTCTCCACACAAGCAGTCCCAAGAGGTGAGCACTTCCTTGAAGCATTCTATTTCTTGTTTCCGACCATCTCTCATCATTCACTTCAGGCTCCGATAAGAACCTTAGGGCAAAGAATGCACAAGAGGCACCGAAAAACATTGAATACAAGCTATCACTTTTCTCTTCAGATATGACCAAAAGCGAATTTTGGAACCCCTTTTCATCCATTACTCACAGAATTTGTTCACCTTTAAAATTTGCCAAAAAGGTAACTGGAAGTCAGAATTCTTTTATAAATTTGAGATCCCAACATTCTTTCAAAGAGCTTCTTCAGTTCACATTGATTTACTTAACAATCAGAAACAGAAAAAAAAGACATACTTAATACAAATTGACATAAAGAGAACATAAATAGTAATGCCAATTCCAATAAATTCACTGTAAAACATGAAATTAAATTCTGGGTGAGGACAACAACAATAAACAAAAATTGAAGAAACCAAATTCAAAGCTTATTCAACTCAGAACCAGGAAAACAATTAATGTACACATAGATCATGATATTGAAATTTATAACACTAAAAAACAAAACCATTACTTACGAGAAATAATGGGCTATAAGGCCTCTTCAATTTTCAGTACCAGAGAAGTGCCTTTGAAATGAATTTGTAGGTCAGAGAGATCTGAGTTTTGATGGAGATCCTAATGAACCAACCATACCCTATTGCAGAACTTGAATTGGTCATAAAAGTTGCCTGATATAAATCATCAGAGAATGACAAAAGCATGGGTTTTACTCGTGTGAGACTGCAAAAGTCTGTTGAAAAAGAGGAAAAGAGGACTTGTACTGTAACTGAATTGAAGGTATACTCATGAAATTGATCCCTGGTTTTCAGTGACAAGACTGACCCATCTGACCCTACCTACGTGCAATCCCTTCCTTCTTTTCTCCTCCTTTTTCTTCTTCAGTTTCTGCTCATAAACTTTTTGGAAACAAAAAAACGCTAGATTCCTGGTGGTTTTGTCACCATTATCACTCGAAAGAAAGAAGTTGGGAATAAAATAAGAGCCATATCTCTATCAAACAGTAGTTTGAATATGTATTTTTCCAGAGTGGCTCACCTCTATATGTCTTTTTGTCCACATCATGAATAATTATACCACATGCACACAAACATATTATATATTTTCACACATCTCATGTAATTTTTTTCTTACTGTACCATTTTCCTTCAATCAAACCATATGAAAGAGATATATATATAGTTAATTATATTGATTATTATGTCTCACCCACCTCTTATATATCATCCATCATTTTGAGCGGTATCTTCTAATATGAACCACAAAAGCATAACGAATTGACGAAGGCCACAACATCAATGTCCCTCTACCAATAATCCTCCTATGATTTCACTACACAGTCCACAACCAGCGCAACCTAGTAATATTTCCTACAAAATTCTAACATGCGCCAAATAAACCCCATTTATTGAACCAAAAACTAGAGGATATATGCATATACCCACCAACTAATTCTCTGACTTACCAGTAATAAATAAAGAACCAATATTTATTATAATACACCTGTGATGGGTCCAAATCCAACTAAGTGAAAGTTAAGGTCTGAAGAGCGATTTGTGAGGATAGTGAGAGCAAGGAAGGCAATGAAGTTGATCACTTTCGAGACAACTGCATCACCATGATGAGGCCACCCAAGAAACCAGGTCTTCATGGGTCCAGAGAGAGATTGGTTCAACTTTTGCTTCCTTGGCCGAGACCTGTAAAGCTGGAAGTTGTTGAAGAAAAGCTATACAAAATCTACAGAAGTAACAATTTTCTAAGTGTATGCATGCACATTAATGTAAACACTTGGAGGGCATTACGCCAATCATCAACACCTCCTCATTTTGATTCCAGAGATCTGCCCTTGGAGTTTGGGCTTGGTGACGAGGCTGGTCTCCATTTGGTTGAATCCAAAGCAACCCAAAAGATCAATTTTTTTATTCTCTGATCTTATAATAAAAATATCTCATAAAATATTAAATTAAGAAAGTGAGCTAGTGCTACAGTACATATGAGCTTATCTTGTCACAGCCACTTTTATTTTAATTTTTGGACTACAAGGATTCCCAATGTCCCGAACAATAGAAATCACCAATCCCTCATTTTCTTTCTATTTTCAGTTCTCAACTCCAAATCCTCTGTTGTTGTCAATCAACCAATTCAAGACTCTTCTAAATATTGTAGAAATTAACAATATTATATAACCACAAAATGCATCATATTAATTATGGTTAGTCTCGATTATAATCCAACGACACCTATGTATGTATAAGATTATATATTTCAGTGTTTATTAAAAATGAAAAATTATTAGATGGATCTTGACCATATAACACTTGGTAGTCCACTTTAATCAAGATTTTTTTTTTTTTTTTTAATATATATTACACACTTGTGGTTCTACTTTTCTTCTATCAATCAATCTAGCACTATGGCTTCATCTATTTACTGCATTTACCTCATATATTTAACACTAACACTAACACGTTCTTGCAATTGAACATAAATGTTTATGTAGAAGGTAGGAATTCAATTTTGCGGGATAATACTCGTATCAGTTAATATTTTGAAAACATATATCATAAGATGTATCATGACTTTTCAGTGGATTTTTAATTTTCAAAGTTCAACAAATACAAGTAAAATATAGGAATGGAGGGTGCTTACAGGGTTTCTGTTACAATTAGAATGTATGAAATTTATTTTATAGAAAAATGAAAATATATTTCACTTTTAAACAAAGCTTTCTGGGTTTAGAGGGAGAAGACAACTCATTTCCTTTACATTGTTGTTGAATCATATTTAATGTTGTATTTTCAATTATGTAGTTGCTTGGTATTTAATTTTAGATGGTACAAGCTTAAAAAAATTTAATTATGTCTTTGCTTGGTACTTAATTTTAGAGTTAAATGAATCCAAGTATGTTTGTGAGAGTTGAATTTATTATCTAGAACAGGATTATGGAGATCCCTTATTGTTATAAGGGGGAGACTTGTTTTACATCGGATTCGAATGGAAAGTGACGTGGGTATAAATGGGTGGGTATGTAGTATTACCCAATAGTTCGAGTTTTTAGATAAATGGACAAGCGCCCACCCGTTACAGTTAGTATCAGAGTCAGACCCAATCCTTGATCCGGTGCCACGCTAAGAGCCCCGTCCCAAAGGCGTCCATGTCACAACCCAAAAAGATACCAAAATAATAATAAAAATCTATAAAAATTTCGGCATGACCTCCACAGAAAATGTCCCTCGGCAACCTGTTGAAATGCAAAAATAAATGCAATAGCCTCATTGGGCCTTAAATCTAACTTATCATATCGCAACGCACAATTCAGATATTATACTACATTTTCAAAATAGTTACATACATACAAAAGTCCCATTCCTCCATCTCATCCAAACAAGGGACACACCCGTTACTTCAAGTTACAGTCCATAATTGTAGCTAAAATTTTAAAGTCCATATCTTACAACATTATATCAACTAAACTAAAGTTTCACAAAATATTTAAGATTACATTTACAAAATATATATTAAAGTTCTAATACAAAAGATAGCAAAAAATAACAAAATAAAATATATCTCCAAGCTAGTCTAAACCAGTGGTGGATCGTCGTCCGCCGCCTTTTTTCTGTGTCCTGAAAAATGTTAAAAAAAAAAAATGAGTGAGCATAAGCTCAGTAGGAAGTGTCTAAGACACACTTCTTATATCCCCGTGAATCCCACACAAGGAATGGATAAAAAGGGACGGGGTCATACCATGGGGAAAACATAATCTCAATCACAACAACAAGCATAGTATAAATAACATCCAATCACAAATTTCCCACATGTACCATGAAGTGCAATGTCATGCCTATGCCACTCCCCGTTTCCGAAACAATTCCGTTTCAACAACCAAACCGTTAATGTAATCCGACCCAAGGCACCTCCAAGGCGTCACGAAAGGAAGGTTGGTTAACTATCCACGACCACAAGACACCTCCAAGGCATCGCATCCGGCCTAGTTAACTCAACTACATTCCTTTCTAGACTACACTAACATCACGAACCACTAGGCGCCTCCTAGGCGTCCGGTTTTCGCAACACTTTTAGAAAATATTTTTCCCAAAACAATTTTATTTATTCTAACAAATATTTTTCCCCCTTTCTCTTTCCCAATGGATGTATGAATGCTTCATACTTCAAATCATCAATTTAACTATATGTTTTCACTCATTTTCATTTACATCATCATCACAATTTAATGAAAATTTCTAAACATTCATTTCCTTTATTTATTTATTTATAACCATAGTACCCATTTTTTTCTTCAAGACAATAATCAAATAAATAAATAAATAATCATGGAACATACAACACATCAAACACTAAGCATGCTCATTTACCGTAATGAAAATAGACATGCATATGAACTCAAATAACACATGGAACACAATTATCATTGTAATTACATATAACTACAACAACAACAAACTAAGTAATTAAAATTTAGCATGCTTAGGATCAAATTTAAAGGGAAAAAATTCACCAAAGGTCAAGAAATTATAGATTAGAACACCCCTACCTCAAATTGATGAAAACCCCCAATTTGAGCCCAAGTACCCTAGAATTTCAAACTCCTTAGAGTGCACCAAAACTGAAATTGTCGGTACTCACACGTAGATCTCGTCGTGCTCTTCGATTTGCCGCAAACGGCACCCAAAAATTCCAAGTATGGAAGAAGGAATCAAGGCTTAAAATTTTTATAAAAAAAAGAAAAGAAAAAAGAAAATAAAGAGCAAGCTACTGGAGTGAGTCGGACGAGAGAGTGAGATACGCAGAGAGTCAAAGGCCATTAGGCCCTTTTTGTTGTTTAACATAATGGTGGGGCCCACCACTTTGTTTCTTTTTCTTTTATACTTATTTTTTTAATATCATAAATATATATATATATATATATATATATATATATATATATATATATATATATATATAAACATTACATTCTCCCCAATTTTAAAAGATTTCGTCCCCGAAATCAGGCCATACCTGAGGGAGAAAACAACTCTGGATACTTAGAGCGAACCTCATGTTCGAGCTCCCAAGTAGCCTCTTCAACTCCATAATGCCTCCAAAGAACCTTTACCAACGGTATCGTCTTTTTCCTCAACACCTTCTGTTGTGTGTCAAGGATCTGAATTGGTCCCTCCTCGTAGGAAACATCATCATCAATGTCCACATCAACCCAACTCAAAATGTGAGACGGATCCGGTTCGTACTTCCGTAACATCGATACATGGAAAACATTATGGACCCTGTCCATCTGCGGTGGCAATGCTAATCTGTAGGCAACCTCTTCTACATGGTCCAAGATCTCAAAAGGTCCAATGAATCGTGGCGACAACTTGCCACTCTTCCTGAACCTCATCAACCCCTTCCTTGGAGAAACTCGAAGAAAAACGTGGTCTCCCACCTCAAAGGATAGCGGTCGTCTCTGCCTATCTGCATAACTTTTCTGTCGGCTCTGAGCTGTAAGCAATCTTTGTCTGATTAGCTTAATCTTCTCGGTAGTCTCGAGTACAATATCGGGTCCTAAGGCGACTGTCTCGCCCACCTCAGTCCAACAGACAGGAGACCTACAAGGTCTACCATACAACGCCTCAAATGGAGCCATCTGAATACTCGCCTGATAACTGTTGTTGTAAGCAAACTCAATAAGGGGAAGGTGATCCTCCCAACTACCACCCAAGTCAAGTACACAGGCCCAAAGCATATCCTCCAAGATCTAGATGGTACGCTCCGACTGGCCGTCTGTCTGTGGATGAAATGTCGTACTAAGGTGCAACGCTGAGCCAAACGCTGCTTGAAGTCCTTCCCAGAACTTCGAGGTGAACTTAGCATCCCTATCCGACACAATAGCCACTGGAACTCCGTGCAATCTCACAATCTCTTTCACATAAAGTACACCGAGTGCCTATGCGTCATCTGTTGCCTTAATAGGTAAGAAGTAAGCCGTCTTGGTCAATCTATCGATAATGACCCATACGGCTTCCTTTCC